TTTGGTAAAATGAATTTACTTTTATACATTCGTTAGTAAAAGAAAGACAACCTGAAAAAGAAATGATTATGGTTGTCATGGTAATATAGCAATCCCACCTATTATTGCTGTGGGAGTTTGTGCAAGACAGGCTACACAAAATCAAGGCAAGATTCAGCAAGGTCCCATTATCCGTATTTATCATTTATCAGATAGGTTCTGGTTTTATATAAAACAAAAGGATAAGGAACGGGGGGGGGGATGGGGGTGTGTTGGTTAGATTGTCGACAGATATATGAACTAAGAAAAGAATATTGGAAACGACATAGAGAAGTTCAACTTTTGATGTCAGCTATTTTAGGCGAGCTGTCTAGATTAATTCAGTACATAATTTGTGGGTTATGGCGTGATGCATACTTTAGTTGCTATTATGTAATTCAATAGTTCATGTTTATCCAGGGTCTCGTCTCACCAAATTACTAAAAAGTTATATCTGTTACATTGCAAAAACAAATTAGGAGGCAAAGAGTTGTAAGGCTAGAGGTAAAAAAAAAACCCCAACAGTTGTTAAGGGTATATTTCGCCATTCTTTCACCAATCGTACTTAAGTCTCAGAAAGGGGAGTCGTTTAGCTAAGCCAATCAGTAATAGTGTTCATAGCTCACCGTCGAACAGAATTATTCGCGTTTGAAAGTTAAAAAGAGTAGTCGTCTTTTTATCAGTCACAGCCATAAAAAAACAATTCCTGGTTCGAGATATTGTTTAAGGAATTATGCGATTTTCGTACATCCATTCAAGACTCAAATCAACCCCCCCCCCCCCCCGCCCCCCCAAAATGGCGCCTTTAAATGTCAATAAAAGTTATAATATAGATCTTTATGAACAGACTTAAACTTATCCATACGTACTTGTACCTGTGAGGATAATTTAGTAAATAAAAAATGCCCAGCCAATCGAGCCCACTCCTTATAATTTTTAAATTTAATTATTTTTTATTTCTAAGAATAACACTATCCTTTTCCCTTCTCCGAAAGGGAAGGGAAATCTAAAGCTCTTTATTACAATAACAAGTCAACGTTGAAATATTAAATCTAAGGAAATAAAAATCAAAAAGTCCTGAAAATCTAAAATTGTAAAACCTACAGATTCTCCTATCCTCTAACATTGTAGATTATGATCTCTTACCTCCCTCAACAGTCAAACAACCTACAGCTCCTCATTACCTCTATAGTTGTTGATTGTGATATCTCAATCTAACCTTCTTCAGAAAACGTTCTGTACACTATAATACGCATTTGAAAATCAGGTTAATTTATCCCCTGACGTTGTTGAATGTGATCTCTTACCTTCCTCGACAATTAAAACCTACAGATTGTACCATCCTCTGACATTGTTGAATGTGATCTTTTACT